AGCAGGAAGAAAAGCATCAGAGTTCTCCAGTGGGTTAGTTCTGTGATCTTCAATAGGAAAATCACTGGGGATTGTAGATGAGAACTCATCAGCTGGTTGAGATACATTATAATATGGATGTTGAACAGATAATCTAGCTGAATCCGTAGGGAGTGAATGTCCAGAAGTTCTTTGAAATATTTGAGAACAGAGGCCAGTGGTGGCTGCCCAGGGACAATCATTTGTTTGTTGAGAGAAAGAATCTAACCTATCATCCATTTCTTCAGGCAGCTCAACAATGGAGTTGTCAAGAGACCCATTTTCCAGTAGATCAAAGTTGAAGTCTGAATAATCTAATGATCTGTAGAGACCAAAATTGTAGCCACACATACTATGGTTGTCTATAGTGAATGTTTCCCGGTATATGAACACAGGTATGCACATTACAAAAGCCACCACCCAGATACATCCACAGATAGTGAAGGCTGTCCCCACGTTGCGATGATTCTGGCACCAGATTGGCTTGAGTACCAAAAGACAGCGGTCCAGGCTAATGGCGGTCAGCAGGAAGACGCTGGCAAACATGTTGAGGACAATGGTGGAGGGGATGAGCTTGCATAGGAATGAGCCGTAGGGCCAGCGTCCTTGGAGAGCCAAGTGAACCAGAGAGAAGGGCAGGGAGAGGCAGCAGAGAAAGTCAGCCAAGGTGAGATGGAGAAACCAAACTGTGCTCACACTTCGTTGCATCTTTAGGCCAGCCACCCACAGCACCAGCCCGTTGCCTGGCAATCCCAGTAGGAAAGTGAAACTGAGAATGACCATGGAGAGAATTACTTGGGGTTCATCCCAGGGCTGTGATGGTAGGTCAGTTGAATTGGTCTCAGCAGAGAAAGACTCCATTGCTAAACTTTTATAAAAATATAAACAAAAATGTTAAAACTATCTTTAAAAAAATGCATATTCTTAGAATTCTAGCCTCCCCACATAAAGATGTAGAGTCACAAAGACCCTCACACTGTTTTAGTTTTATTTTCTGACTTCACATTGGATTACACAAAAACATTCTCTGAAAGACAATTTAAAATCTACTATATTGACATAGAGAACAGACTTGTGGTTGCCAAAGGGGGTGGTGGGGGAGGGGAGTACTGGGAGTTTGGGATTAGCAGATGCAAACTAGTGTATATATAGGATGGATAAACAACAAGGTCCTACAGTAGAGCACAGGGAACTATACTCAATATCTGTGATAAACCATAATGGAAAAGAATATATATATATATTTATAGCTGAGAAATTTTGCTGTACAGTAGAAATGAACAGAACATGGTAAATCAAGTATACTTCAATAAAATTTTAAAAAATTTTTTCTTTTTAGGCCGTGCTCTGCACCGCCTGTGGGATCCTAGTTCCCCGACTAGGGGTCAAACCCAGGCCCTCGGCAGTGAAAGCTCAGAATCCTAACCCCTGGACCACCAGGGAATTCCCTCAGTCATGTCTTTTAGATACAACCTCATTTTTTCCTTTTGCTGTCAAATTTATCAAGAGTTGTTTTCCCTCTTTGTGTTGATTTCCTTACCACTCATTTCTTTCTTATTTGTTTTTTATGAGTATAACTTGAGAAAAATAGCTTGATTATTGCAGAAACAGAAATCATTCATGGAGATAGGGAACTCCCTGGCGGTCAAGGGGTTAGGACTCCATGCTTCCACTGAAAGAGGTGCAGGTTCCACCCCTGGTCGGGGAACTAAGATCTCGCAAGCCACTTGGCATGGCCAACAAAACAAAATAAAACAAAAAAGGAAATCATTCATGAAGAAACTTAGAAAACATAAGCAAGCAAAAATAAGAAAATAAAAATGTCATATACCACTAGTCAGGGATTTTACTATTTTAGTATCTTAATTTATATCCTTCTGGATCTTTTTTCACATACATACATGTATACTATATGTATGTATATTTTTTGTTAAGCAAAATTTAACAAAATTAGATTATACTGTGCATATTGGTTTAAAATTTTTTTTAATTGTGGTGAAATACATATAAAACTTACCATCTTAACTTTTTTTTAAGTGTACAGTTCAGTAGTGTTAGGTATATTTACACTATTGTGCAGCCAATTTTTAGAACTTGCTCATCTTGTAAACCCGAAACTCTATACCTATTAGAAAACAACTCCTCACTTCCCTTTCCCCACAGCCCCTGGCAATCACCATCCTACTTTCAGTTTCTATGCATTTGACTCCTCTAGATACCTCATATAAATGTAATCCTACAGCATTTGTCTTTTTGTAACTGGCTTATTTCAGTTGGCAAAATGTCCTCAAGTTTCATCCATGTTGTAGTGTGTGTCAGAATTTTCTTCCTTTTTAAGACTGAATAATATTCCACTGTATGGATGTACCACATTTTGTTTATCCATTCATCTGTCGATGGATATTTGAGTTGCTTCCACATTGTAGCTACTGTGGATAATGCTGCTATGAACATGAGTGTAAATGCATGTTGTTTTATATAAACTGCTTTCTTTTATCACTTTTATCAGTTAGCAGTCTCCACATTATACAGTAAGATTGTACCTTAAGGAATACTCAGACTTTATCCGTTTTTTCCAGCTGTCCCCAAAATAATCCTTTCTACCTGATTTGTCAACAATTATATCCAGTCTAGGATCACACTGCATCAGGATGCTTCTTCAGTCTCTTAATGTAGCATTGTTTCTCTTTTTCAAGGATACTGGCTTGTTTTGGGGTCTGTTGTTCTCACCACTCACTTCACACCCCTTTGTAATTGGTCTTCTGCCCCATGATGCTGCTAAAACTAACTCTAGATAACAAACCCAAGCATCTTTTTCTCTGTCTTCATCCTCCACAATATCCATGTCATTTGATACACTGGCTTCTTAACACTTTCTTCTCTTGGCTTCTGTGACATTACCCTTCCCTGATTTTCAACATTCCCATAAACATACCCTACTTTATAGCTTTCCTGAACAACTCACTATTCCAAGTCAGAACCATTTTCTATTCCTTGGCTATGCTGTTTACTTCTATATGGAATTATATCCTCCACCTTAACCTCCTCTTTCCTCCATTCTTAATCTCTATCTGTTGGAATCCTAGCCATTCTTTAAGATCAAGCTCAAATATATCTTCCTTGAAACTTCTCTTATAATCCCAGTCATAATTTATTTCTTCAGCCTCCTATTTTTGGGTGTGTTAGGGGGTTGAACTTCTTTTCATATTCTCTGTGCAATGATGCATTTCATCTTGTATTATAATTCTTTTTGTGGCTGTCTTATCTATCATTCTGGCCTTAAGTTTCATAATGGTAAAAAAGAATCTTGTTCCTAAATGCTCGCTCCACAGAATTTAGCACAATTAAAGATTACTTGAATGGATAGATGCTCATTTTGGGGGTTAACTTTTTTTCTTTTTCAACTAAATGAAAAATTCTTATTCTTGCCCATTTAATCCAGTGAGGATGCTGTCTATTCTAACTTCCTTTTTTGTTTTCCAGTTCCTAATTCTTACTGGCTGTAACAGCATTTTACGTTTCCTTTTGTAGAAGTCCAAAATACTGTGTGACTTGAAGCTGTTCTGCTGAGTTTACAAGCTGCCATAGGGATTAGCAGAAGTTAAAATAACTAAGACAACAAAATACTAAAAAAGAAGAAGTGATTCTCATTTTCCTTTCAGTAACCTTGCTTATTCCAATATTCAAGTCCTGTCAGGGTCACCTCCTTCGCTGTTGTATGTGGCAGCTACCCTGATCCATTGCCTACACACACATTCACGCATAGACCCATAAAATATTGAGAGACCGATAGAGTCATAGAATTCTAGGACTGAAAGGAAAGTTAGCAATCATCTCTTCTTGTCTCTATTTTTATTTTGTAGTTTTGGACACTGAAACTCAGCAAATTAGGGGACTTTTACATATTCACAACTAGGAGGGTTGTCATATCCTAGGTCCAATGACTGTCAGGCCAATACTCTTTTTACTACAAATAATCACATAACTGAAAAGCCTTTGGGATTGCTAATAAAGGGAAAGGCACCAAGAGCCGCACAATAATAAAGAATAATAAGGAAGTGATAAAGATTGAAAAGAGCAAAATTCCAATACAAAGAAATTGAGTCATCTGGCGTGAGCTATATTTTAAATATTACATAGTATCTGTCTTGAAATGAAAGTATATATGAATCAGAATCTTAAAAATCTTTCTGGGCAAGATAACATTTTATATTTCGACAAGTGTTTTGGCTGAAAAGTACCTCAACATTTTTTTTTTTTTTTTTTTAGTTTTCAATACTGAATTGGCCAACAAGTAATTAAAAAGATAAGTAAAATCCTGAAGAAAAAATAGGCAGGGGCTTCCCTGGTTGTGCAGGGGTTAAGAATCCGCCTGCCAATGCAGGGGACACGTGTTTGGGCCCTGGTCTGGGAAGATCCCATATGCCGTGGAGCAACAAAGCCCGTGCGCCACAACTACTGAGCATGTGCTCTAGAGCCCGCGAGCCACAACTACTGAGCCCACCTGAAGCCCACGCGCCTAGAGCCTGTACTCTGCAACAAGAGAAGGCACCACAAGGAGAAGCCTGCGCACCGCAGTGAAGAGTAGCCCCTGCTCGCTGCAACTAGAGAAAGCCCACGCACAGCAACAAAGACCCAATGCAGCCAAAAATAAATAAAATAAATTTATTTTAAAAAAAAGAAAAAAAAAGAAAAAATAGGCAATCGATGATTTGGAAAACAAAACTATTGGAGAAAGCTGGAATCAAAGGTGAGAAGGAGAAACAGCCAGTTTAAGACAGGGAAAAATGATGTAAAAATTCAATATTCTTTCCCGAATGAAAATATTAAGAACAAAGATAAATAGAATGTGGAATATTTAGAAAAAGAAAAAGGTGGACATGGGAATAAAGCAAAAGAAATAAAAGTTAGGGAAGGAATAAGGGGAAATAGAAAATAATGACTCTCAAACCATTATCAATAATGAGCAAAACAAGCTGGGCACAAGTCCTCAGGTGTATATAGGTTTCCTTACCAAAAACCCGAGATAGTAGCTGAAGACTTCAGCATGGATCTGGAGGTCTCCACGAGTCCTGTCTTGACCACAGTCAAGTATGTTTAGGAAATTTGCTGAGCACCTCCTCTTTCCTCTCTCTCTTTGTTTCTGATGATAAATTAAACCCAACACTTTTGACAACTATCTGACTCCACAGGAAGAGTTTCAAAGTGAGTCATTTCTAAATGTTTCATGTAAGAAAAGTAAGAAAAACAGAAGTGGGAGAGCATGGCTCTCAAAAATTTTCTGCAGGACACAGAGTATGCTTAGAGAGAGAGTACTTTTTACATCAGCTTCCCACTTTATAGGTTTTTGGATTTGCTTTGTTTTGGAAATGCACAAAAATGATCCTATGGTATGTGAGAGTGGGGTTGGGGAGTAACTGGGGGCAGTAACCTGCACAACTGCATGTAATGAATTTCAAGTAACATCTCTTATATGCTTAATATGTGTCAAAGAAGTTTGTCGTGCAAAAATCAGATGAATTAAACTATGTTCTAATCTCTAGAGATTCACAGTCTGGTGAGAGTATGTACCCATACAACAACAACAAAAAACATCTGTAATACAATTCAGACTATAATGATAGAAATAGCAGTAGAAGTAAAAGAGTAGAAAATAACATGTAGGGGTGTGTTTAGCCTGGGGCAATCTAGGAAAGTCTTAAGGTAGAAATAAGGTCTGGGCAGGTTCTTCAAGAAATATGGGACTTCTCTAGAAAGAGGTGACAAGCTGTTTACTTTTACTATCTTTATTATTATTATTTTGGGGGCCATTTCAGGGCATGTGGGAATCTTAGTTCCCCGACCAGGGATTGAACCCGTACCCCCTGCAGTGGAAGTGCAGAGTCTTAACCACTGGACCACCAGGGAAGTCCCCACATCATACTTTTTAAATTATTCTATATTATACCATTTAGTCAGTTATTCCCCTTTTCATGGATATTCTGTTTTTATCAAATTTTAAAACAGTTATAAACAATGTTTCAATGAGTACTCTTGCATTTTACACATCTATGAAATTTTCTGTAGAATAGTTTCCTAGGACTGTAATTGCTAAATCTATGTATGTGAACTTACATTTTTGAAAGGTATGGCATTTCCCACTAAAGAGACTCCACCAATTTACACTTCCATCAACGGTGGCCAGGGTATCTATTCCATTTGCAAAAGGTAAGGTCTTTATCATTAAGTTCAGTATCATAAACAAGTACTCTGCTCTTAATGTAGACACTATGCTTTGCACTGTAGGAGATGCAGAAGCAATGAAAGCTGTAAATATATAATTATAATTGAGTAAGGGCTGCTAGCAGGGTAGTCCTGGGAACATGGAAGAGGGAAAGACATTCTCACTGAAACAAACATGAAGATAATGCACTGAAGAGATAACACTTGGGCTGGGCTTTAAGGCTGGGTAGAAATTTGACAGACACTAATAGCGCTATAAGATAATTTATCTGTCTCTCCGCCCTACTAGACCAAGAGTTTGTGCCTATCTCCAGAGCCTGCTACCATGCCTGGAATAATATGTGTCTGGCGCACCAATGAATGAATGAATGAAAGTTTGGTTGAAAAGGATGTTGGCTTTTGAATATAATTCAAAGAATTAATTTGAGTCTTTAAAGTTGTTTCTGGTGTGGATCCAGTTTTACTGATTCCTCTTTCTCTAAAGATTATATAGCAATTAAAACCAGTTGGAGAACTTCCAGCTGTATTACTTGGATTTTCAGATCAGGAAGGAAATTACTGAAAACACCTTGTGAATAGGGCTCCTATTTCTAGATGGCTTCTGTCCCTTCTTATAAAGTACTAGTTTTATGGTGTAATGTGGAAAACTTGGGGGGAATTTATGTGATTCTCTTCTGTTTTGTTCCTTTTTAATATCTAATTATAAGTTTCTAAGCAGAGATCAGATGCTTTGGCAAGAGTGAGATTTTGAATATATGCTGCAAACACAGCCATATTAAAACATTTTATGAGTCACTGATTAATTCTACATTTTCAATGATGGAAATCTGTAGTCATTTGGCCAAAATAAAAATTTTAGAATTGTATAATCTCTAGCCTGATCTGTCTGAGAGAATTAAAAATAAATATATGACAAAGTTTCTGTCCTTAAGGACTGTGACAAAAAATGATTAGATTCATTATTAGACCAAGTATAATTATACTCTAAATGAAAAAATAACCAAGTGCCAAAAACTATGGATGACATAGACAAATGCTATGGCTAGTTAGCAAAGGACAAATCTGATGAAACCTGGTGGAGTTTAGAATTAGCTGGAAAATTTTCATGGAAGAACATTCTTGAGGTGAAAACTGCTCTAGATTAGGAATTTGAGTTCTGGTTTTAGTAATAACTAAATACTTGACCTTGGGCTGGATGCTTGACCTAGAATTTTTTTCTTAGATGTAAAATTAAAGGGTTGGCTTGCGTGATCTTTAAGGTTTCTTTTACATCTAACAATCTATAATTCTCCCATTTCAAGTAGGGGGAAAACACACATTAAGGTGGAGGGAAGCCCAGCGTGAGTGAATGACACAAGTAAATTGGTCTGGCTGGAGTAAAAAGCACACAGGAGCAATAGAAGGTGCGTAGAGAGCCTGAGCTTGAATCCCAGCTCTGCCACTGACTAATTGTGTGGCTGCACAGGAAGTTTTCAGACTCTGTGGTTTCATTTCCTCACCTGCAAAACAGGGATTGTGTCAGGTTTTATTTATTGATACTCAGGCCCATTCCCATTCTTCCTTATTATTTCTCTAAGTGAAGCCTGGGTACTACATTTCTGAGACTGCCTCTCAGGCAGGGTCTGCCTAGGCTCTGCCAGAGGGGCATGTTCATGTGCTCTTGGAAAGTGAAGAGAAAAGGGAATCATTGCATTTGATTCTTTTTCTTGAGATTAATTTTTATTGGAGTATGGTTGGTTTACAATATTGTGTTCATTTCTGCTGTACAGCAAAGTGAATCAGTTCTACATATACGTGTATTCACTCTTTTTTAGATTCTTTTCCCATAGAGGCCATTATGGAGTATTGAGTAGAGTTCATTGTGCTATACAGTAGGTCCTTATTAGTTATCTATTTTATATATAGCAGTGTGCGTATGTCCATCCCAATCTCCCAATTTATCCTTCCCCACCCTTTCCCCCCGGTAACCATAAGTTTGTTTTCTACATCTGTGACTCTATTTCTGTTTTGTAAATAGGTTCATTTGTACCATTTTTTTAGATTCCACATATAAGTGATATCATATGATATTTGTCTTTCTCTGTTTGACTTACTTCACTCAGTATGACAATCTCGAGGTCCATCCATGTCTCTTCAAATGGCCTTATGTCATTCTTTTTTATGGCTGAGTAACATTCCATTGTATATATGTACCACATCTTTATCCATTCCTCCGTCGATGGACGTTTAGTTTGTGCAGAGTTTGCAAATATGTTTTAAAAATAAAAGAAAACCATAAAATAGAATAAACATTAAAAATATTAAAATATAAAAGAGAGAGATTGAAAGGGGGATCATTTATTTTCTGGCTCCTTCAGCAGCAGACAACTCTGGTGGGTTTCTGTAACAGAGATGGCAGGTGTGACCTTGGCAGCTGCTGGCAACTGTGGGCTCTGGCAGGATTACTGGTTTCAGCAGCAGCTACAGCCCTGTGAGTATTTCTCTTCCAATTTTAGGGAAGTACCTTCCTGAAGTTATATTATCTTCTCCCCTTTTATTCCTCTAGTCCTTCCAACACTTTTGCAATCAAGTCCTTGTATTAAATACCTTGTTTGAAATACGTACAATGGTTTCTGTTTTCCTGGCTGGGCAATGACAGTTGGGGAATATTCACTGTGCCTACTCTATAGGACTTCTAGGAGTAAATAAATTAATACATGCAAAGCACTTAAGACACTGCTGGCACATAAGCATTCAATAAATGTTAGCAGTTATTAGGTCAAAAAACTAATGTGGCTTCCAGTTGCCTATCATATCAAAACTATTCTCCCATCTTGGACTCTTAGAAAATAATTTACAGAATGTTCCCTTTACATTGTTAAGTTACATCCTTTCTGTCGAATCAAATTCTAACCCATAGCCCTCAAGGATGTAGATTTGACACACTCTCTACTCCCTATAGTATAGCTGCCTAATTATGCACATAGTTATAATAAAACAAAGAGCACAAACTGAAGAACAAAGTCGCCCAGAAATTAAAGTAATTCAGTCGAAAGGTAAATAAAATAAAACAAACAAAAAACTGTTAATCCAACCATAATAACAAATATCTGATGAACTGATGCCTGGATCTTGAAAGAATCCAGCCAAATTTGGCACGATGAATCATTCAAATCTGAGTGGTTTAAAGAAAATTTAGCAAACTTTGTTTCTTCTATTGATTTATTGATGATTGATTTTCTATTATAATATGTATCCAGGGCAGTCAGCCAAGGAAGGGAGATTGAAGGGGAAGTAAACTGAGTGTTTCATGAACACCCTTTGTGACTTTAGTTCCATGAAACCCAAAATGGATCAGGGACTAGGTTTCAGTTTGTGTTTATCTGATCTAACGAGAAGGCATAAGAAAATTTTGCGGGGGGGACAGAATTCAGGATTATCGAGGGGTAGATGGCTCTCATAAATGTTTTAAGTGTAGATAAATTTTTGAGTAAATTTTGATGGATTTTTTAGGTTAGCTATCCTATTTGTGCATTATTTAGAAAATGTCTTCTCCATTTCATTTATCCTTTTCCTTTTCTTCCCCATTTCATTTCCACTAGAATGTGGGCAAAGAAACTGGTGATACAAAATGATGTTGGGTTGAAAACCACCCAGTTTTTCCTTCTGTGCAGGGAAAACCACAGGTCTCCATCTCCCATGTGTCTCCTTTACTTTCACACAGGACACTTCACTTCTGACACTTGTGGTCACCAAATGTGTGTGTTTTTTCCCCCCCACATCAAACAATTCTGCAACATCAGCTGGGTGTCCTACAATTTAACTCAATTCTGACACTATCTACCTGG